TCAAAGCATTTGAAGCAACAGCTCAAGAGGGGTATATTCTTTCTTGAATCCATGCTTTTCTGGTATTCCACTAACACTCCCTGGTGTTCCGGAGTTCCCTCTCAGACCACCAGTTGTCCTCATCAGCTCTGCAATTGACCCATCAAACCCTGTACTTGATCATCTTTCTTTGAGGGTTCCAGCAGTGATCCACCATGTGTAACCCCTCCTCCTCTTCTATGGTGTCTGTCAGGGCACCAGCTCATTGCTTGGTCAAGAGACATGACTAAGCCTTTATGACATGGAAGTAGCTGGTATACCTTGGCATGTGCTGGAACCTGCTGGAAGGATTGGATGGTCAGGTGACCTGCTGTGCATGGCTGTGCATGACCTCATATGACCTCATCCTTGGTCATATGACCTGATCACCTGACTAGGCTGAGTAAGCAAGATGTTCTAGCAGGTTCCACCACAGAGGTATAAATATAAGGCCTACTCTGCCTGGGACTGTCTCTTCAGACTTGGTCTCTTAGGATCATCCACAGGTACCTATACTGTAGATAGGTCTTAGTCATCAGGTCTACTCCACTTCCTTGTTGCCTGCTTAGACTCTTGGCACTCTTAGGTGAGCAGACTTAGTCAGCCTGTGGTGCCCTAACAGTGTCTGGCCTTAGATCAGGTAGTGTCTTGCACATGCCTAGCTGTTCTGGAGAAGGACTGTATAATTTGTGGTGTTCCACATTGAGCATGTCATGCATCCTGTGGTTCTCTGGTAGTCAGACTTGATATGTGTTGTCATTGATCTTTTCAGTAATTTTGAAAGGACCAATGCAGTGTTGAAGTAGTTTATGACCCTTGGCTTGCAATTCATATAATCAAAGCAAGTGAGGGTTAACTAGTACTGACATGCCCACATCCCAATGAGCTGTCAAATGTCTATGGTGGTTATGTGCCGATGCTTGCTGATGCTGTGCCTTGACTAGAGCATTGCAAGCGGCCTCTCTATGGCTTCTTAGCTCTGCTATGAAGTCCTCTGCTCCTGGAGAAGATAGGGTAGGCCTTCCAACAGCAGCGCCCATGCCCCTCACAATGTCCCAAGGGCCATACAATAAAAGTACAGGGAGTACCCAGAAGAGGCATGGGGAGAGGAATTGTAGGTGTGCTCCACATAAGCAAGCCATTTCGCCCATTCATGGGTCTTCCCTTTGATGTATGCTCATAGCATGACCTCAATGGTTTGGTTGGCCACCTTGGTTTGTCCATCAGTTTGAGGGTGTCAGGCGGATGATAGTTTCAAGGAGGATCCCAGACAAGCTGTGAGAGAATTCCAGAACACATGGGACCAATGTGGGTCATGGTCTGAAACAAAGAACTGTGGCAATCTGAACTTCAACATGATGTTCTGGAAGACCAGGCAAGCTATTCCAGTGGTGTCGACTGAATCCACTGTGGGGAGCAAGGTCACAGCTTTTGTAAGTTTGTTGATGATCACCAATACAGCTGTGTGTCCGCAACTTTTTGGGAGAGAAGTGATCAAATCCATAGAGATCATTTCATATGGATGCTTGGGGATATCAAGTGGGTGCAAGAGACCCTTTTTCCCTGTTTGATCTGGCTTGATCTTCTGACAAACATTGCAAGTGCGCACCCACAGTAGGATGTCTGTCCTTAGGCCTTTCCAGTAGTACTGGTCCTGTAGTTTCTCTGGTAGCTTCCAAGCTCCTAAGTGTCCACCTCTCCAAGGAGAGTCATGTTCTTCCCTCAAGAGTTCCAGGCATAGGGCTGCAGGGACGCAGAGTCTGGCTTTGCTGTCTGCATCATGCCAGAAGAGGGTACCATTGGAATGCTTCTCATATGATTGACCTGGTTTAGGAAGTGCGTCAGTCCTTAGCCATGCTTTACTAAACTTGGGATCAGACTTTGCCCACAAATTTGTGTAAGAAGTCTGGGTTCCAGGAGAGGAGGAGCCCCCCAGCCAGTACGCCCAAGGGGAGCAGGTGAGGGCGCAACTCCATTTTGCTAATGCACTTGCTTGGCAAGACTGAAGCCTTCTGAAGCCTTCGCTTGAGCCCGAGTCATCACAAAGGAGGCAGGTATAGCTGGCTTCTTTCCTAGTTTATCTTCCCAAACTTGTGCAAGTGGAGCTCCCTCTTTGTCCGGTAGTATGGCTGGGATGTCATCAAGAACAGGTGAATTGTGCAGCAGTAATCAATATAGCCATGACAGGGGGTCAACATTTGAATGAACTTGACCTGGTCTGTAGACTATTTTGATGTTGAAAGTGGCAAATACCGCCCCCCACACTACCAGACACCTGTTTGTATATTCATAGGCTTTTGACCAAGTCAAGGCTGAGTGGTCCATAACCAGGAGAATCTTTTTGCCCTCAATGATGGGCTGAGACTTCACCAATGCATCCTTAGCTGCAAGTGCTTCCCATTTGGAAACAGTGTAATTGATCTCAGCAGGTTTAAAGGTGTGACTCCAGTATGTGCATACACATTCCATGTGCACTATTGAGTCTGCCAGCATTGTGCCCCATTGATCTGCCAGAAACACATCTGAACTTCCAGGGTAATCTGCCACCTCTCAAGAGAGTGCAGTTACCATTCAGGGAACTGGTAGGTTATTATCCCACACATGCTGCAGGTGTGAGTGAGCAGCTGTACCCACTAAATTGCCTACTTGAATCAGCTGAACTTGCGGCAGCACAGCTCCTAGAGCCAGATTGCTAGCATTGGTGTACAGGCAGTATGGGTGACCCTGCATAGGGTGGGCTAGCACCAGGCCTGAGGAGAGAGCAGCTTTAGCTCCTTTGAAGCAATGCTGTTCCTCTTTGGTCCACTTCCACTCAGTGTCTTGCTTAAGTAGATTGAAAAGCAGCCGGCTGATAGTCAAGTAGTGGAAAATATACTGCTGGAAGTATACAACCATACCCAGGAATTTTTGCAGATCTGCCACATTCCACAGGGGTGCTAGGTCCTGTATAGCTTGTACCTTCTCTGCATGAGTGGACAGCCCTAGATGAGAAGAAACCTTTTGCCCCAGTAGCAGGATGGATTGATATCTGAAATGGCACTTCTTTGGCAACAACGTTATACTGGATTGGGCAATAGCTGTGAGAACCCAATCTAAATGCTGGAGGTGTTCAGCAAAAGAGTGAGAATAGATGACTATGTCCTCAATGTAGACTAACAAGAACAACCAGAGGTACGGAGCCAGGATAGTTTGGACAATGCATTGAAATTGCTCTGGTCTGTTCCTAAGGCCAAAAGGTAGCCTTGTAAATTGCATGAGGCCCACATGAGTATGGAAGGCCATCTTCTCCGTGGTTTTTGGGCCCCAGAGTTCTTGTTCTTTGGCATAGTTATGGGCGAGGTCAGCCAAGAAGGCAGCCTGCATTGCGCACTGATCTTCTATGCTGGAGCTCTCAGCCATATCCAGATATGTATGTGCTGTTTCCAACTGACCCAAAAAGGTGCCCAAAGGCAACTCCATAGGCTGGTCTGACATGTTCGCTACCAAAACCCTCAACACGGAGGGGCTCAGCAAAGCAGGCGTGGGTAGCATGTTCATGTTGTGGGAAGCAGCACACGTGGAGGGTCCCCTAGGCTCAAAGAAGAGTACTTTGGAATTGATTAAAGGTTGGGAGGGCGTGACATGAACGAGTCTCGAGGAACAGGCCACAATGGTCATGGGTTTGGAGGATCGACAGCCATTGATTTCATCAGACTTTTTCTCCTTCCATCTGAGCTTATTGTTCTTGCGGTGCAATCTTCTCTTGACAACTGCTGAACAACCCCACCTCCAGTGGGGTGTGTCAGGCCGGTATTCCAACGGTTATTTTTGGGCCTTAGAGACCATTGCATGGCACTACGCACCCTCACTACACAGACAATGCACCCCAGCAACAAGTCTTGATCCTACCCGGATATTCGGCATGACAACTGCGAGGTTTCCCATGCGACAGGATGACCCGGATATTCGGCATGACAACTGTAGGTTTCCTCCACAATGGGGTCGACCCACACGGATATTCAGCATGCCAATGCCTGCCTAGGAGAGGTATCCAGAGACCAGATTAGTATAGAGTGCGGTTTTTAGTAGCTAGTATACGTAGTTTCCAGAAACTCCTGTATCTAGCTTATTCTGCCCCTTATCCATTAGCATTATATGGATCCGATTATTGGTATACTGGCAGACTTGACTTGACTTGGCGGATTTTGACTTGACTTATTGTGACTGGACTGGACGGACACTGAGCTCCGATTATTGCATACCGACTTTTGATAGCTCAGCTACAGGCTGACTCCGGCATTCCTACCGACTTTCCCCATCTCTCCCCTCTTTCCCTGGCAAGTTCTTGCACACCACCCATCGGACCGATCTTTTGGACACATTTTGGGTCCGATCAACGCTCCACGCGCCCAATCTTCACAGGTCCTCCCTTCATGATTCGACCCACTCACACAGCAACGGCGAGAACATCTACAGTGAACTTCAGTTCATGTCTTGCGTACGATCTAAGCCCAAAACTTTGCTTACCGATAATTTCATTCACCCTCAACCTCTCTATAGTATTAAGGTATCGGAATGCGAAAAAAATGCGCGGAATTCTAGGATCGTGAATCTGCGCTTCATGAGATGTAGAACATGGTCGAATGGAATGCCTTACCTCCGTTATGACCCCATGCTCTTCCAGAATGAGTTGAGACTTATGAGGGACACGGCGAAAAGCTTCAGCCGCCTCCTGCACCCGTGGACGCTCGATTCGATACATCTGTGAACTTCGTGAATACATGCGCAAGTTTTTAAGAATTACTTACCTTCCTTGGGTCGAGCGCACGTATGCGAGACGTCTGCGGGCCAAACGCAACGATCGTGATCTCCGCCTATCCCACTTCAGTCTGCCATACATCACCCGACTATCTTCTCCCACCGTTTGATCCAGCAAGATCGCCAGCACCCGCGATCTCTTCCATTGCCCATCTGTCGCCTGCTTCTCCTCCTCCACCTCCTATACCCTGACGTCGATGGCAAACCTGCGACGCGTCAGAATGTTTCATTTTGCGCAAGGAAGTTATACATACTCAAGTAAACCGGGTTTCACATCGCTCACCCACTTACGAGTTAACCCATCTGCAGTCGGCAGCCTAGGCAACCTCATCAACCCAGGCAGAGCAACCGGCGCCAGGGCGACGCTGACGCGTTCCGCTGCATTAGGGGCCACAGCTGACACCACTTCCCTCCCTTCTAGACGTCGTTCGCTGGCCTTGACGCGTTCTTGTTCCGGCGGGTGATACTGCCCAGGTCAGCTTGCGCCCAGTGAGCTCGACTGCCGATCGCACCATGGTCAACATCGGGTGTCGCGTCCATCCTCATCTTCTTCGGTTCTTTCAGGAGCCAGTCGTCCTGAATGCCCACTCCCCATCGCTGAGCTCCAATCTGCGCCGGTTAGTGGGAGACTGTTCCTCGCCAGATATGGACTTACATCCAGTCCGCCGGCTCCTTCCCTTCGAGACGTTCCGCTGCAACGATCTGCACGATCGCGCTAAAGTTCTCCGGCGATCCGAATACCATCATATGGGCTGCCCCCGCAGACAGGGGGGGCAGGATAATGTCTCTTGCGTCGGGCATATCGGGCGCAAGTTAAAGTGAATCAGTGTGTTTCAGTTTAGGCGGAGCGGTTGTCTATATATATTACATGAGGCGGGCGACGATAGAGTGCACTGGACACACATCACCAAAGTTGCTTCTGTGTCTGCCCTGTCCGACGCAGCGCACAGCAGACATTCCATACCCCGCCCCTTCCTACCGAGCTTATTATTCATCAAGAGCAGACGGGTGCTAAGTTGGTACTGAGGGGGACGTTTATTCGGCTAGTATTCAGGAGCCTTGCAACATGTTGGAGGATATATGTTGGTCGTGCGACCGCTGTTGACATTAATATATTGGCAAGAGCGGACAGGTGCTAAGTTGGTACTGAGGGGGCCGTTTATAAAAGGAGGAACAATCGACGTCAAGGCTCCTCACTCTGGAAAGTCTATAGCGCTGGTCGCAATCACCTCACATACGCACTCGTAACACGAAACCTTACTTCCACACATCAGCAAACTCAATACACTCTCATTCATCATGGTCCGCTCCTCCACCATTGTTCTCACCCTCACTCTTGCTGCAACGGCGTTCGCCGCCCCTTTGTCTTTGGAGCGCCGAAGCGCTCCAATGGAGGAGCATGAGCAGTTGTAAGCCTGACCTTTCGTTGTCATAAAGCATGTATCGAGAGTGCTGACTTGCGTTCAGTGCAATGCGAAGCGAAATGGACGATGCTTCCCTCGAAAAGCGGATCCTTGGCGGAGCATGGCGCTCTGGGAGGAAAGCCGTTGGCCGAATAGCGCACTATGTGCAGAAACACCCAATCGGGGCCTTCTCGGGTGTCGGCGCTGTTCGTTGGATGGGGAAACAGCTGTTCGGCAACAAGGCCCCCAGGAACACGCAGCCTGCCCGGCAGGGGACCGATGGGAAGTTGACTGACGAGTCGCCGACGGACGGGGGGTCCGGCGGGGCCCCTGGCAAGTACCGGAGACGTGACTTGCAAGATGACGACGAATACCTCCTCGAGATGAGGGACATGGAAGACAACACGCCCTGGGTCGTACTACGCGATGCCAACATGGAATACGTGGCATCGACGTTAGAGAAGCGCGGGTCGTTATCTGACATGGAATAGGGTTAGGTTTGGTGATGTCCTCAATTAATGATCCATCGCCTGTACTTTGCATCCACAACCATACACCGTCACCATAGAGATCGGTCATCTATTGAAGTATGCTTTTTCGCCCCCCATCTGTCCTTCCCCACTTCCGCATAAATACCCCTCGTGGGGACGGAGGCGTTGCATACCAGCAATATATATGCGTCTGACACATTGACAACAGACGCCACACGCTACAGTATGCGCCCACACTGTATCCTACTCGGGAACATACACACGGAGCCATGGCGGCGTCAGATTGAGAAGATAAGTCACTCATCAGAGATCAACCCGTGGGCCACCA